TGGCAGCAGTGGAAACACGCAGTAGCTTCTGCACACCGTTGTACGACTGCACGCTTCGCTAACTTCGGCACGCTACAACTTATTACTTTTATAGAGCCTGCGATTTAAATGTGCCAGTCAAGGAATACTTTGAAGAAAGCGTACGATCTTTAAAATTTATAAATGCAGGCAACAAGCAAACAATCTATTTGAAAGCATTATAACTGTTCGGTCCTTCTTGCAATATAATCTCCTGTCTGGTACAGGCGGTTAGACTGAAGCATTGTCTTCTTCATTGAAAGTATTTGCGGTTTAGATATTTGAATAGGCATTTGCTTTGCTAGCGGACATTTGGCCTATGATGGATAAAATTTGCAAGGTAATTATTTTATTTTCATCATCATTTTTATTATTTTTTGATTTATTGAAATGAATAAAACATAAACACATATAGGAGTATTTTTAATATTAATGTTAAATTGTTTTAAATGGATCGATTAAGATTTACGTTAATTGACAAATACTATCTCGAATTTTTACTCTTTAACCTAAACCTATTATTATTACTTATTTTATAGTCTGTCAGATTTCACAGTGTTGGCTTGAAATTTTTTATGTCATTTTTAGTTAAATTTTGAATATTTTCATTTCATTACTGCTGGTTTTCATTTAAGCTCCCTTTGTATTCATTTTTGAATGAATGCAGTATATTTTTGTCAAAATCTCTACCTATAAATAATAATTTGTAAGGAAATTACAATATGTATTGTTAATGTTAATATCTTTTTTGTAATCAAAATAAAAATTTGTGTTTAGAGAGTAATGGTGTTGATTGTAATATGAAACAAGTGGTTTTTTTCATCAATGATTTGATTCAGTTCAACAAAACCTTTTTAAGAAATAATTTGAAATTCTTAGGTTTTAACATTTTTACAAAATTGTTTTCTTCATTTGGCACACTTTTTCACTTGGTTTTTTAATGTAACTTCAGTTTACACGTAAAAACTTCATGTAGACTTGTTCATTTAGATTTTTAATTTTATTCCATTAAACAATGTTTTTCAGAAACGTGTGAAGTTTTTATAGTTAACCAATTATAAAAATGAAATTTTGATTTTTTCAATCTGCCTGAATTAGCTTGAACAAATTCAAACATTCAAACAAAATCAACTACTGTATCTCTCGTATTTTTGAAAAAGTCGGTGAAGCTTTCAATAATCGGCTGATGTGGCTTTGATTGTTGCTTCTTCCCAGGAGAGAAACTATTTGCTCATGTATCTTGAAGGGTGTGGCATTTATGATTTGTTCCATTGATCCATACCTAATGTGGTCATTAATTGTTTGTTTTGGCGTCTTATTTAAGGCTGTACCATCTACACCCCGCCTGGTGCATACACATTACGTATGCCCACGCACTTAGCAGATTAGGTTTAGGATATTCATTTTTCATCCATCGTTCGACTAAAGTGATTCTTGGAGTTGTTTTGAACGTTTGCGTGGTTTCGTGTTTGATCCCTATCTATGTACTGTGTATTCTAAATAAATTTGCAGGAAGTGTTTCCAATAGCTACGCTTTCTTTTTTTTGCTATTCAATAAAAATAAATCTATGGACATGAATAAGCGTAAAATTTGTGGTATTTCTAGTCCATTTACAGTAAACATTTAATGTAATTTAATTTTTTCTGATTTTTATTAACTGTTTTTATTTAAAATAATTTTTATTGGTTGAAATTAATGAATTAATTTTTTTATTAATATATTTACATCTTTTATTAATTGATTTGATTTTTTTCTCCTATCATTTTATTCTTCTGGATCTTAATTTATTTATTTTTTTATTAATTACTTCATTGATTTCGAGTTTCTGACATTTTGAAGAATCTTTATTGCCCCATAGTTATCAGTGCATGTTCTCGCTATTGCTGGTCTTTTTCTCTTATGGGTATTTGTGATTTTTTGCGCATACCAGTATCATTACGCGCATATGTCGATAGATGGATGGGTGAATGGATAGATAAATAGATACATCGGTGTGTTTTGAAAGATAGATAGATATATCGGTGTGTGTTGATAGATAGATGATAGATACATCGGTGTGTGTTGGTAGATAGATGATAGATACTTCGTTGTGTGTTGATATATCGATAGCAGCTATTAATGAATGTTGAAAAATACGTAATTACTATGTATGTATATATTTGAAGACATGTGTTCTACATGTTTTATTCCCGTAAAATTCGTACATATAATTTACATGAATGAATGTAACAGTTCGGCAAAAACTATCAAAACAAGTTTTTATTATTACATTTTTTCATCTATTAAATTATAAATATTGTTACAAAATCGCAAAATTTGATGCTGGCAGATTTAAGTTTGGTTTTGAAAACAATTTTGTCATAAGTCTGCTTTGTTAGCCAGTATTTGTTGCTCATAACGCATGAGCTATATTTCTTATTCTTATATCCACATACTCTGCACTATTTAACATACACTGAACTCCGCGAAGCAAATAAGCTAACTTTTGTTAAGAAAGCTTGTTGTCAAAATCTCTATCAATTTAATTAAAATTTGTTGGAATCGTCTTAGGCAAAAGTTTGAAAAGAGATAAAAAAAATCATTAATAATCTAAATAGGACATGGTCTATGCAAAATTTGCTTATAAATTGACTACCACTTCTTAAACCTTTAGAATGAAACCAGTGGCGGATCAAGGGATTTGCGGTGGAGATGATTTCAAAATTCAAAAGTTGATGATCTTTTTTTCGTTTTTCTCCCTTTCGTTAGAGGAATGATTGTCGAAATTCTTAAGCAAATAACCACCTTTTGCTAATCTCCGTTTACATTATAGCCATATTTTACAGGGAATTTTAAAAATGTTGTCCTCTTTCATGGTCAGGGTCAGGTGCTTGGAGGATGGATCTTCCAGCTAAGTGTAATGTTTCTTAACGATCGCTGTCAAGAATTGTATTGCGTTGCTTTGTAGACTTGTGGAGTGCTTCTAATGAGTTATCTTCAGCGGCTCTAAGAAGAATATTACGACAAACACATTACACAAATGCAATTAAATTTTGTGTTAATACTACAACAACTACAGATAATAATAATAATATTTTTTGTTAGAATTAATAATAATACCAATAATAACGATAAAATTGCTGCTGGTTATATAAATATATATAAATAAATATATATATACCAACATATTTTTTATCTCTTGCTGTTTAATTATTAATAGAAAGCTAGCGTGCATTATCAAATGTAAAAGCGAACGTGTTAATGTTTCATAACATTTAGCACTTACACACACTACGCGAAATTTTAATCAGCTCATTGAAAATTTTGTCTTCAATTACGACTATTGAAAAGAATATATATATGCACGTGTATGTGTGTGTTTGTTTTTGGTGTGTGTACCTATGTATGTGTTTGGTGTGTATGTATGTGTGTGTTTGTGTGTGTGTGTGCATGTGTGTGTGCGCGATATTCCGCTGTTTAGCAGCAGGATAAGCACTGAAAATGCAATGCATTATATTTATTGAGCAAAAATAATTTGTTGAAGGATATGTAATCGATTAAAATCGTGAAATAGAAAATTTAATATTTTTGAAGAATATATATTAATTCCTATAAAAATGCTAAATATTTCAACAAACTGCATTATTTAAGAAGTTAACAATGAACCACAGAACTAGGAAATTTTTAATTAATTTTCATCTAATTACCATTCCTAGCAAATAGTAATACTAAATTACAAGCTAAAGTCATTTGTCATTGCAACAAATTCAAAATTCATATATAATGTCATCCCTTCAGAAGTAGAAAAAATTTTTTCCAGAGATAAAATCAATAATCTAATATCATCCCTTCAGGAAATACAAATTTTTAATAGAATTTAAAAATAATTTCTCAATAGTTTTAAAACAACAAAACGCATTCATAGAAAAGGAACAAGGGGCGTAAAGATAACCAGTTGTGCTGAAACGCCGTTAAACTGCACAAACAAACAAACATCATATATACAGTTTTTACAGGCTACCTAAAAACAACAAGACGAAAATTAGTTATAAAATTTATACATATTAAAGCTATAAATTTGTGAAATTAGAAATTCTAAACAATTTCAAGAGATTAATAAAGCACTGGTCCATCTTAAGAAAGCTTTTTGTTTAAAAAGATCAAAACTGAATTTTGTACACAACTTTAACATTCTTAATAATTTATACATATTTGTTATGTACATGTGCATGGCACCACCGAAAAATTTACTGGAAAGGTGAAGGCTTGGTATAAGTTGAATTTGCAGCCATCATCATCCTTCATTAAAACCAAACTTTGTCACGATTATCGTTAAGAAGAAAATTAAACTGAACGTTATGAAAATTCGATGAATCCTATGAGATTCTATGCAGTTAGAGATTGTAGATTGTTTAAACCAATATTTCCGACAAAAATTACTTGAAATTGTTTGGCATAGAAGAGTAATCAATCAATTGCGTAAAAACTTGAGCAGGCCACCTCTACCTACCCCATTCAATGTAAGGCCAAAAATAGAGCATGACGAATTTGAATGAGATGATTATCGTTTCTCGCATCAAGTTTTGTTCCGTTTTAAATTATTTTACGTCGCTTGTGTCCTCCTAACTTCATTTCTTCTTTGTTGCTCTTTAGTTTTTTTAAAGTACATGACATGTTGTTTAAGAAAGTAAGAAAGGAAGACAACCATCCATCCAACTGTCTTAAACCTAATCGTTTCGGACGATGCATACGCAGCACGGTTTTAATCTGTAGCCGTCTGATACAACACAAATTTAAGCTGACTAAACACGATTTTTAAAGCGCACGTATTTTCTTTATTTCAGCAGTTTTGTGAAAATGTTTCTAAATATTATAGATTTATAAATACATCCATTTTGTTACTAATATCAATAATTTTCATTTTCAACTCAAAATTTCATAACATACAACAAAATGATAAATTGTTAACCAGATAAAACTGTTTTATTTGAAGGTTCTCAACATGAGACATTTGCAAACTTACTTCCTTGTTTTCTTGGTTTCTCATATACCTCATGTTCACAGTCAAAGTATGTAATAAAACAGAACCACGAGCAAAATGAGTCTTTTATTGAATTTGACAATTTTCCACTCCAGATTGCCCATCATCATTTGATCAAGGGAGCACGACAATATCGAAAGGAGCCACCTCCACAAATGATGCAACGAAAGTTGCTTGTGAAGCCACCTGCAGAAAAGATACAACATGCCTTTCCTACCAAATTGATTCGAACTCTGACAGGGCAGCTTACTGCTGGTTACAAAGGAACACCAGTGCATTTGATACATCAAATCTTTATTTAGCAAACAACATTGTTGAATATAAAAAAAGTGTCGATTGTTCAAGTTGGCATTTACATTTTTGAAAATAAGTTGTCCTAAAATGTTTTTATTGATTGTCTAATGCACGCTCATATTCAATTATTCACATGTTTCAAATATTCTGTTGACTTAAAATTTTAAAGATTTTACTGACTGTCTCATTGTGGTAATATATAATAAATGAAATGTAATAAAATATTATTTAACCTTAGTAGTGAGCGTTAATAAATTACTAAATTTTCAAAAAAATTTCCAATGCAGCTTGCACATTCACGTACGTTCAGCAAATAGGAATAACTTCTCTGGGAGCACAATCATATCCAGCTCTGACGACAGAGAATCAGTGCAAAGAAAACTGCAACTCCCTTCCAACCTGCTACTCTTATCAAATTAACTCCAACTTTGGAAACCCCTTATGTTGGATCCAACAGAAACAGTTCACCAGCAGTGATACATATTCTCAACCCGGCGTCACTGAGTACAAAAAGACTTATTCTTGCTTGCTCAAATCAGGTGAATATTTATTAGATGTTTATTTGTAGTGCAAATGCGGTAAATAAATATTTGTTTGATTAACAGATTGTGATCCTACTTTCAATGCTCCCGTTCCAACGAATGTTTCAATTGGGGCAGTATCGAAACAAGGCCTGTCAGAAATTGAATGTAGAGCATTGTGCCTCAACGATTACAACTGCGCCTCGTATCAAATTGACTTGAATTCCAACTCACCTTTATGTTGGATTCAATATGATATCACTAAGTTTTCTGGTTCCAATTTTTATCTTCGAGCCCAAGTCACAGAGTATTTTAAAAATACAACATATTGTTATTTTCCAACAGAAGCTCCAGTTATAAGTAAGTTTCAAAATGAAGGCAGTTCAATAATTGTAAAAGAATAAATATCGAAATATTTAAAACCACCAGGCACAACTTCCTGCCCACTTGGTTTCTCCGAAAAGCCCTACGCGAACGCCTCTCTTTTAGCAACACCCAACGCAACCTTGAACACCAATGCATCTTGCAGACAAGCTTGTCTTCAAGATACGAAATGTGCCTCTTATCAGATCAACACGGCTCCTGGTGAAGCATTTTGCTGGTTGCAGTTTGACGAGAAAAATTTAGAAGCCGCTAATACGTACACGAGACCAAACGTTGTAGAATTTGTGAAAGTGTCTATTTGTACAACAACCGCTCAAACAACCACCATCACACGTTAGCATTAATTGTAGGCGACAGCCAATTAATATATGTAATATAATATATAAAACATTTACCAGGATGTCCGCTCTTTTACACCAAATACCCGGACAATCAAGCTTCATATGGGGCTCAAGCACAGGCTAGTTTAATAACAAGTCAATCCTGTGCTGATGGGTGTACAGCCGATCCAACCTGTCTTTCTTACCAAATAAGCACAAAACCTGGAGACTTTCTATGTTACTTTCAAAAAAACAGCAACAACTTGTTAGTTCAATACCAGAACGACAGAGTTGCTGAATATTATAAGAATTTCACGTGCATAACGGGTAAAATATTCTGTCTGAAAATTTAAAAAAAAATTCATATGAGAACGTTTAATTTCAGATTGTGATTATTACTACACGGCAAAGACACCAAATGCAGCTTCGGCGAATGCAGTTCGACAAGCGCAAACGAGCCTCACAACATGTCAGTCTGCCTGCACAATCACACCAAACTGTTATGCATTCCAATTCAATGACTTAGATAAGAGTTGTTGGTTTCAGCTTGATGCTTCAAAGGTCAATGACAATTATAACAATCCATCTGTCACTGAGTACGTTAGGAGAGTTGTATGTGGAGCAGACAGGACGTCGACATCCACCGTAGCAACTACGACTGGTAACTAATTGAAAATTTAGTTACTGCTGCATAATATTTTAATATCGCAGTAATGATTAACATCACCGTAACGATGAAATAAGTAAAAAAGCAAACAGTTTTGGTTATCATCTAAAACTTGCTAATTACAATAACTTTTTATAAAATAGAAATTGTTAACTTTGTATTATCTAAGTACATTTGAATTTATAATTAAATAGAATATGTTTAGCACAATTTGAAACTTCTTACCAGCAACTCAGTGTGAAAAAACCTTCGAAATAAGCAACGGTGTTGGGGTGTCGATTGGCGCCGAAATACAGTCGACATCAAGCCCGGAAGCCTGCAAAGCTGGATGTTTGCTGCTGACAAATTGTTATTCATATCAAATTGAAACTACCAGCACCTCAATTTTTTGCTGGTATCAAAAAAATAATGACTCTCTACAAAACAAATACACAAGAACGAACGTTATTGAATACACGAAAGTATGCAAGTCCACAACCAGTAAGATGAAACATTTTATCTATACTAAACTTTTTTACCTCTTTTATTTTAAAGCAGAAAATTGAAAATTTAAATTACATTAATCTAAAATAAAAAACTTTCATAAAACTTAAAACTCCGACTTTGATGCAAAACTGTGATGAATGGTAGAGGTAGAATTGTATTGAGGAATGCAACAATTCTTTCCTTTATTTTTACTGGCGTTTAATACAACCGTCGCTTTTATTTATGTTGTCAAAAAGCCAAATAACCGTTATTACGCAGGCCGCTATTTTAGTAGCCAAGAAAATCAATATTTATTAGGACAGCACTAACAAGCATTTATTAACTATTTGAAGTTGCGTCAAACTGCACCGTGGATTACTCGGCTGGATCGCCTGCATCAGTTTCAATAAACGCCCAAAGACAAACTTATACAACGGTTGATTTGTGCAAAGCTGCCTGCACTCTCGATGGCTCATGTTTGTCCTACCAGATCGATACAAGTTCATCTTCATTGATTTGCTGGTTTCAAAAAACTGCAGCAGAATTAAATAATAAGTACACAAGACCGAATGTAACCGAGTACACAAAATTCTGTTCAAACGGTAGGCATTGGTTATTTGCTAATTCTAAATAATGTACTCAAAGAAAGATATTTTTTCAGTAGTGCCATGCGTTCCAACTTACGTCGTGAACACAACTGGTTTTGCCTCAATAAACGCTCTGCAACAATCGCAAACAAACGCTGTGGACTGCAGAAACGCATGTAGCAGTGACGCCACTTGTTTATCCTACCAGATTGAAACAACATCTACGATCGCTATTATTTGTTGGTTCCAAAAGAGTTCTTCAGAGTTGTCGAGGATCTACTCGAGACCAGGCGTCACAGAATACACAAAAATATGTCAAACAAGTACAAGCTCGGTGACTACTACTACAGGTAAACTTAAAATTATAATGCGAACTCATAAGGAAAGCCTAATGTGTGTCAATGTCCATTTAGTGCACAATGTTTATCATTGAGTTTTAAAAATTTAAGTCAGGTTAGCTACAATGTTAAAAATTTTGTAAATATTAGAATAATTATTTTACAGATATCGTTTAAATCCGATCAAAAACATGGAACTATTTAGGTAAAAAATAAAAGTCAAATACCAGAGATGTAAATATGAAATGCATAGTTGGCAGATTAATAAAAATTCTTCGACAAGAACTGAAAAGAACTGAATATTTAAATTAATCGTTGGATTAACTTTATTATAGCAGAAAAATAATCAAAGTGAACAAAACTTAAAATTAAAATATTTTAGCTTTTCTCCCTTTTTTCTAGCTCATTAACACGCAAAATTCTAATAAAAAATTTTATTTGTTTGCTCATATAAAAAAAATAAATAGAATAACATTGTTTCATTGTTTTTTTCAGACAATTAAATAAATTTGGTTTCATTCTTTCAGTTTCACCGCCGTGTTCATCAACCGAGTACAACACCACTGGCAGTGGGTTAGCTTCGATCGGCGCTGTACAACAACAAACAACAGATGCAACTGTTTGCAGAGCTCAGTGCACACTGGATGCTACTTGTGTGTCCTATCAAATAGAAACCTCAGGAACGTCAATCATCTGCTGGTTCCAGAGAAGCTCAGCAAACCTTCAAAATAGATACAGCAGACCAAACGTCATCGAATACATTAAATATTGCGCCAACCCGACCACCTCTGTTTCAACAAGTACGTCGCAGTTGAGAATAATATTTCGTGCAAAATAATATAATTTTCCATAATTTAAATTTTTTATCAAAAATTATAATAAATGAACAGGTCGACTTTTTCACCCATACCTTTTACTCGCTATTTTATTTTTCTTTTATTCGGCAAAGTAGCAGTACGTCTTTAACGACTAAAATGTGTTTTGTGAATTATCTAAAAAAACACTTCGTTTGCAATATTGCCTACTAAGCAAACAAACGCACTAAGTTGATGTCCCTACTCGAGCTGCTGGTAAGTCCCGAAAAGGTCGAAACACATCTAGCCTGAAACAAACGCGTCTGGTTGTGTATTCACGATAGTGCAGCTTTGGTCGTAGTTGGAGGGGGTGTACGTTATATACTCGTACTGGCCGACTATTTTTGACGGTATCTATTGTATATACTGTATAGTATATAGCATCATATATATTGTTATAACCGCGGGAATGATAGAATAGCGCTGTATAACTTGTTATTTGATTGTTATTTTTCTATGCCATATTTTTAATCTTTGGAAAGGTTGTAAAATTGCGTCTCTGCTAAATTTGACTAGAAACATGTCTTCCAAAGTTCAATGGTAAAGATTGAAGTAGAAGTTGGGGTGCGTAGCGAAGTCGTAAATGTGATTTATTTAGTTAATTGGATTAATTTATTGTTTCTATTATTGCTGGTATTCAAATGAACGTTCAACAAAATTTATCGCGGACGGGCAAATGCTGCACCTTAGTTTGATGAAAAGTCCTGACGTGCAAAGCAATTTTGTAGTTAAATAAATAAAATATACTTGAAATGCCCTACGAGAAAACTGGGCTTCGAGAAAACTGGATGCTTTCTTTAGAGATTAAAAATACAATTTTTTCTGAGAAGCGTACTCGATATTGGAACAACATGGTAAACCGTAACAAGAATCCTAAAAATTTCTGGTATATTGCTAACAAGATATTGTGTAAAAACTCAAAAAACACTTTTTCTCATGGATGATGACAATGCAGTAACCGCTGGCAAAATTTTGCAGTATTTTGAGGATAAAATTGCAGGGATAATAAAATCTACCGGTGAAAATTTTCAATTACAGACATTGAAGTTTTTAAAATAAATGATTGCATGTTTGCCTCTTTTCTGCTGATTACTAAATTCAATTGAAAAATGTCATACTAAAACCTCTACATATATTTTGAAAAAATATTTGGATTCATTAATATGTTTCCTGACGAGTTTCATTAATTTGTGTTTACATGTTGGTAAATTTCCATTAAACTGCAAACAGACAATTATTCAAACAATTTTGTAAAAAGATTATTCAGATACTAATGTTGTGAACAATTATAGGCCAATATTGAATCTTTTTTTTGTCTCAAAGGTTAAGGTTATAGAGTGTGTGGTTGTATATTGCCTAATGAAGCATCTAGCGATAAAAAACCTGACGCCAAGTAATCAATCGGCGTATAGTTGTTACAATTCAACTGAAGCTGCACTGCTACATGTTTCATCAAACCAATTTGCGGCTTTAGGTGATTGGAAGATATTGATACTGTCCTTACTTGATATGTCTTCTACATTTGAATGTGCAGTCTTTTGAAAATAGTATCAGAAGCAGCTCTCACATAGTTTGAATCATATTTAACGGATCGAATCAAGTTTTGTTCAACAATGTGTTATCGATTGTAAAATGGGTAACGACAAGCGTACCTCAGGAATCAGTATTGGGACCAGTTTTGTTTTTATTGTACTCATCAGACATAACTAAAATAATTAACTTTTAGGATGGATTCGTTGGCCATGCGTACGCTGATGATATACAGGTAATTGTTGATAAATCATTTCAATCTGAATCATTTCAAAACGATAAGCTTGTTTAATACTTGATCGAAATTGAATGTTGGATGTCGAACAATTTCTAGAAAATGAATAGAAACAAAATCCAGATGCTCTCTGTGGGTACATGGCAGCAGTTATCAAAATTTAAAGTAAACTCTGTCAGTTTTGGTGATGTTGAGGTACCATTCGTTTCAGCAGCCTTAATTTTGGGTGTATGGCTAGACTGCGGTATTTCGATAAAGGAACAAAAGAAATTGTTGTCAATTGCAAGTATGATTCACAAAAAGCAGTGGTTTGAACATGTGACTCCAATCTTGAACGAGCTTCTTCTTTTTTCTTTCTCGTGTCTTATCCTTTCAGGACATTGGTGACCATCGACCATTACAAAACCCGATCGTTTAACACTTTGTAATAGTTCAAATGTGGTGATATTCAACAAGTGACACAAGGACTTCACGAGTGTGATTCGTTGTTGACCCCGATCTCTTTTCCCTGCAATCTTTACAGTAGTTGTTAGGTTTAACTGCTCCCGTCTGATTATCTGTAGTAATTTCCTCTTTTCATAACCGGACTGTTTTAATACATCCTCATTTGAAGCATGTGAGGTCTAACTAATTTTCATAATTCTTTTCAAAAACCATATCCCAGGAGCGTTAATCTTTTTTTCCATTTTTCTAGAAATTGTCCAAGACTCAGAGCCATAAGTTAGCACAGAAAAAATGTAACATCCTAACAGTTTAAATTTTGTTGATATTCTGATTTTACTGTTAGCGAGGGTGTTTTTCATTTTAGAATATGCATCTTTCGCCATAGCTATCCTTCATTGATATCCACATCACAATATTTACAATGTATACATATATATATATATATATATATATATATATATATATATATATTTATATACACACATATATATATATATATATATGTGTGTGTGTGTGCTGACAA